ACTTTTTCTTAGCTTGAGTGGCTCTTAACTTAGCTGATAACCATTGACTAGTTCCTCCTGGTTTTTATTAAGAATAGTCTCTAGAATAGGGACTTAAATGAAGGGATGGAAGCCATCATGTTTTCTGTACGCACAATCCAAGTCAAATATCTGCTTGGAAGTCATATGTTGGGAAAACAAAAAAAAGAAAAAAACTGTTGCGGAAAGTGGGGGGTCTCCTTTGAGCAATGTAAAGAAGTGAAGGCCTGAATCATTCATGGATAATTTACAGCTCTGCTGTCTTCCTTCTCAGTTCCTTGAAGCACTGGAGCTATGCACAAGACCCCAACTCACTCAGACTTTGCAGCTTCTAGTGATATCACTGAAAGTATCACACATTTAATCAAACAGAGGAGAAAAGTACTTGTGATATAGCAGTAGGTAACTGAATGAAGTCCCCTAAAAATATCAGATCCCTGATTTATAATTCAGAAGGGCTTGAACACTGCTTAGGCCATACAGTACTGTGGAGCTTCAAGTGCAATATTATTCCAGCATAGCTAATGTTACATTTTGAAGGCTGGGAAGCCTAAAAATAGACCTCCTGTGGCAGTGACTTAGATTTAAAGTTCTGTCTTTAAGACAGCAGACCTGCGTGCTTCTTCCTCAGCCCATCCACTGCAGTGGAGTAGAGCAAATGTGGCACAAATGTGGCTGTATCTCTCTGCAAAATGAACAGTGCCAACACTCCTGCCTGTTGGATAACCAATATAACAAAACACATTGATGCCTTTGGTCCTTTGACTGTTTGCAGTGAGTCATGTTTAAAGAAAGATCTTTGAATGGTTCCTTTCCTTTAATATTCCATTAATTCCATTAATAGAGCAGTAAGAATCAGTTGGAAAAAATACTTATTACAATTATTGAGAGTCACCTAAATGCTGGTGCTACAGCCAAGAGCAATACAGTATTTCCATTTCCCAATGGCTACTCAATTTTAACATTCCTCTAATGTTAGATTTTCTTTAGACTCAGTCTTGGATTTCAGTAGTATCTCTAGCTTTAGAGACTTATACCATAAACTGCAATTCACTTTTGTGAGCCTCTAGCTAAAATATGATATTTTAATATTCTTGTTTTAAAAGCAATTTCTGATTTACTTTTGCTTTTTGTGAACTCAGAAAATAAATGATCAGAAAACACAGTGCTTACTGCTGTGAACATCCTAGTTGTATTTCAGGTTTTATGCAAAACATGAAATTTTKGGGGGTAAACTTGTGTGGGGAGCAAACCATATGCATGTTACAATCTTCTTTTGTGCACTTCAGGCTTTCCTGAAATAAGTCATTTCCTGTATTCTTTTTTTTTAGCTCTGAGAAGTTGTTGTCTACTTCTACTATTTAGAGTGAGTGAAAGTAGAAATATTTCCTTGTGGCAGACTTTAATATAAAATGCCTAATATGACTAAGTAGTTATCCTTAATGAGAAAGAATGAGGAGAATGGATAAACTCAAAGGTGCATTTTTATTCTGTGATACTTCTATTATATAATTTTTGTCCTTATTTAAAATAAGCGAGATTTTAAACACAAATGTCTATAGTTATGTTTTCACTGTTATTAACAGACACTATTATTAAATTCTTAGACATAAGAATTTAACAAGAAAACACAAGAACTAAAGCAGATGAAGAGAAACTAAATAATAATTTGTTTCTACAAATAGGTCTAAGACAGCATACAAAAAAAAAAAACCAAAAGAACATTTTCAACAAATTAAAGCTCACGACAAATTTATCAGTGTTCAAGATAAACCAGTGATGAGTGATTATGTCACTGCTACCAGCTGACAACTGCGGAATATGAAGAAAATACACGTCAGGAATGGACTTAGCTTCTGCAGCGTATTCTGGCACATAAGCCATGAAACTCAAAGACCGAACTATGAGAACCAAAAAACAAGGTTTGAGGAAGAGAGCTGTTAGGGGTCACACTCAGTGCTCTACACCTAACAAGCAAATGTAAAAAAATAATCAAGAAACAAAAATAAAGTCAGGTTCCAAAGCTACTATAAAGATCTTCATGTCACTTCAGTGATTGTAAGACAAAATCATATAGGTTACAGGACACAGCTGGGTTAATTATAGCCTGAAGTGGTATTTATGTCCCTAAAGCTCCCCCTGCTAGTATATAGATCTTCTAAGAGGGCAGAGAAGATATATTCTTCTGCAAAAATACATTATTCTCTATATAGTCTCTATATTCAAAAAGCTAATTTTTGTTTTACAATCTTACTATGCTAAAGAAAACAGATTGGAGACTATTTTAACATTATTTAAACCCTCTTGGGTTTTTAGTTTCTCACTGATAATAAGCAAAAGTTAAGTCCAGATATTCTTGCACACACACACATAGCAAATACCTGCTCCTTAATTTGGGCAACAGGGAATGGGATAATTTATAAATTACTAAGAGCAGGAGTCTTCAAGCAGACATTAATACTCAGAGCTGTAGCCTGGCTGGCTGCAGCGTCGCTATATACGTGCCTGAGGATTCTTAATGAATGATCCACCTTTGTGTAGAATTACTCATGTGTTCGAGATTATTCACGAACAACGATCTTACTACTTCATTTTCTGCCTACTACCACAGATAATTTATCTCGGTACATGGGACAGCTCATAGGAGCAAATACTGTGCTTGTCTGTGGGAAGCATTTATAGGATTTTGTTTGGTTATTTTCCATAAAACGTAAGAGAATATCAGGTAAATTCATATTGTTTCTCCCTGTGACTACTACATGATGTCTAACCAAGAATGTGGTATATACATTGTATTAGTATCCCAATTCTGTAAAGCAGAACTGAAGCAAGCTGTCAAGGACAGCTTTATATCATGCAATGAAAGTAGGTTACCTAGCTAAATGCAGACAAATTAAGCCATTAAGCATGCTGCCAGGTAGCTTTTATGTACTCTGATTTTCAATAGGAAGTAACAAACCAGAGGATCCATCCTTAGGTGGATTCAGAAATCTCTTTTTTTTTTTCCCCCCATGTAATACTAATGTGTTTCTGATGCACCGACAGAGCTACTGCGAATGTTTCTGCTTGCATCGCCAACCTCCCACTCGGAGAGCTGTGTCTCTGCGTAGCTGTCAGAGGATCCCTGTCACAGATGTTCTAGTTCTGCACTCACTTTTCTCATAAGCAGCATTCTTCCTACAACATTTCTTCAGATTATTATACGCTCCTGCAAGTTGTTTTTTCCCCTCCCAAGTTACCAGGTACACGCTTAGGAATACATGCATCTACAAAGTTGGTCATTATTTTCCTAGGTGCTGAGTACCTTTCCTCCAGTGAGAACAGGAGCAAAGGTACTCAGGAACCTCATTAAAGGAACATTAAAAATCAAGACGAAGGACCAGAGGCTGCAGTAGTTTTGTAATACTGAGTCTGTTTCCATTGGATTCAGTGAGAGCTGACTCACATGTATCTGGTGAAAATAGATCCATTTCTTCTGCACTTCCAATTATTTACCTTATTCCTCATGACATTGTTAAAATCCACATGCTTTAAATTCAGGTCCTCTGTGCTTCATAAAAATAGAAACTATGAAATCAGGATACCTTTTTCCTTTTTTTCGATACATCTATTTATGTCGATCCTCTGCATAAATTGTATATACTGTCCCATATCTATATGTGTATCTAGTTGTATCTATATAGTTGTATCTATACAAYTGCGAAACATTTAGCTGACTATTTAATATTGTTCAGCATAAAGGTTATCACTAAAATACAATGTAAAATTCTTACTGTGATGCTGACCATGCTGCTGTTGTAGTTATGCTGCTTGTATTTTTGAAAAGAAGATGATTTCGGTAGGCATGGTTAATCTGTTTTCAGCACCATTCCCTAAATGACATTGCCAAGGAAAAGCTCAGGAAAAATAGGGCACTTGCTCAAGCAAGTGAAATCAGGCACTGTCTAGAGAAGGCAGCAACTGTCTCTACAATAGGATTGTTTTTGCTTTCTAAATTAAAAATAGAGGCACATTCATTGTAGCAGGGTGATGATTTCTGCAAATGCAGCCAGCTGAGCAGTCGAGGACYGAGCCTACAAACCCCTTGCTCTGAGTGCGGCCTCAGCTCACATCATTCGTCCCGTCAGTGCAACCACTCCTCTCAACAAGGATTATTAAGAGGTTTGCAAGATTTGTACTTAATTTGACTGCAAAATACAATCAATAAGTAAGACACTGTAGAATAGATGGCTGTTAGCAAACTTTGTAGAAATATGTCACATAGAGTCCTATCTCTACTGAGAAAGCTYCGAGTCAGGAAATGTTAAGGATTAGACTTCCTTAAATTACCTAAGAGCAAAGGGGCATTTTCTCATCATCCCTCTGATCCTGTTCTAGAGCTTGAAACATGCCACATTTTGAGCCTTATGGGTATCAAAAACATGCAATAATTTTTGATAACCCAATAAACTATTTCCAAACTATTTCCATTTCAAGTTAAGTTGGTATAAGACTAACTCCTATAATRTACTTTATCTGCTTTTTTAACCATTTGGCACATACCTTACAGTGAGTTACAGTATTTTACGATGCCAAAATTGTAAAATTGGTCAAATTGTGTCACTTTTTTTCTCTTGCACATCTGAGTCAAACCCCAAATCCTCCTGATTTAAACCTCAAGAAATCAATTTGCTTCTCTGGCATTTGGAGCTGTTAGATGAAAACTACCCAGACTGGCTGAGTTTTCTTATAAGAAGAGCTTAGCTTTCTGAGCAGGAGCAGTGCATGATCCTGACTTCCCAAGGTTGAATCCTGCCTGACCTTACTGAAGCCAAAACATCACTGTCTTCAGAAAAGCCCAAAAACTTCAGTAGATACTTTTTATGATATATTAGTGGCAACATTAGTATACTAATAGCATACTAATGCTATACTARCATTTTTTCCCATCCCTACCATGGAGGGTCTCACTTCAGAAGGAAGACACAAGGATGAGGTCTCACCTGACTTGTCGGAAGAGTCGTCAAACTCCACGTTGAAGGAGTGCCCGTTGTTGACGATGCTCTTGGCTGTGGAGGCATCGTAGCTGAAGCTGAGAGGCTTCAGAGCGGGGTCGTACTTGGCTGACTTGGTCTTGATCTCGATGGGCGACTGGCGCTCCCCGTTGGCGATGGGGAAGCTCTCGTGCCAGTGAGCGGGCCCTGCAAGGCAGCGTGAAGCTCAGAAGGAAGAGCCACCGGTCTCAGGGGATGCAGYCGACAGCCCTTGGAACCCGTAATGCAGCCCCTGACCTGAAATGCCGCAAAGGTTTCACCCRTGCACCGGAACGCACCGTGCGTAAGGGGCTCAGAGCAGTCACTGCAGACAAGAGGGGTCCCATTTGGGGAGGCACCCATCAGGCCCGGGRCACTGGCGGTTCCAGCAGGTACACRGTCGGGGCGCCCTTCCAGAGCCCACCCGTCCCACCAAAGTCGGGCCTCATCCTCTGCTCTTCCTCGCGCTGCTACAGAAGTAAAGGAACGTGAGCGAGAGAGCAGAGGGATGCTCGGGGCAGAGGCGCGCGGCTCAAGCGCAGGTGGCATCTCAAGGTGAAAAAGCAGGAAAGAGGGGAAGAAAAGCGAAGCGCGGAGCCACCTCCCGGCGCGGAGGGGCCGCCGCGGCACTCACCGTTGTGGCTGCCGTAGCCCCAGTGGTGGGACATGGTGGCTGCGCGGCGCTGTCGCTGCCCGCCGGCGCCGCGCGGCCGCTTTTATAGGCGCCCGCCAACTGCGCGCCCCGCTGCGCGCCCGCGGGGGGGGCGCGGGGGGAGGCGGCGCGGGGGCGGGGAGAGCGCTGCCCTTATAGCACTTTCCCCTTATAGCACTTTCCCCTTATAGCACTCTCCCCTTATAGCGCGCTCCCCTTATAGCGCGCTCCCCTTATAGCGCGCTGCCCCTATAGCGCGCACTCCCCTTATAGCGCGCACTCCCCTTATAGCGCGCGCTCCCCTTATAGCGCGCTTCCCCTTATAGCGCGCTACCCCTTATAGCGCGCTCCCCATATAGCGCGCTCGCCCTTATAGCGCGCTCGC